ACTAATTTTTCTCCAACTTTGATAAGAAAGTGCAATACTCAATATAAGTTTATAATATCGAAAGAATACTCATGACACTAAAAGAATGACTATGGAGCGACTCTAAGAGTTCAAAGAAAAGACCATAACAGTTAATTAAAACTCTTTACCCACGCGAACAAATACGGGGCTCATCAAGAACTATCAACTTGTGTACTCTAATTGACGAAATCCTCGCCTACGTCAACTGCTAACTCTGTAAAAAAAATAGCAGGGAGTGAGTCGCTAGATCAGTGAGTAATAACACTTAACCACAACTGTTTTTATTGGGGACAAGTCAGAAAATATGTTAGTATATTAAACATAAAATATCACAAGAATGCCCTTTCAGAAACAATAAACAATAATCAGTCTCACCATATTTTTCATGTAATATAATTCAATTGATAATTCGGCAATAATCTCGATAAACACTGTATAATATCAATATTCATGTTTTTGAGATTTCAATGAACGAGTCATGTAATCGGTATGACTGTGGACTTCTTTGCAAGAAGTCAAATATAACGGTAGTCCCTACTCGAGGGAAATCAGTAACAATATGCTAGTTCTACCTTCCCACTAGCAAGGGTTGTAACGGTAATCAGTAATTACAAGGTGCACCAGGTCTAACGAACCCTCTGTTAGCTACGGGATCCTTCAAAGTCTACTCTCATTTATACTTGTCTCTGTAATCCATATATACTCGTAGGAAAATATTCTAAAAAAATATAGGGCATTTCAGTTCTTATCAAATCATCTAACTTTATTTTGATAACGGTAAATCTTATCTCAATAACGGTAAAATATATTCAGTAACAATGATAATATTCAGAATAACTGTAATCATCTCAAATAAATATAGTGGTATCATATAAGTAAAAGACTTGTCCCACATGCAAATTTAAAATATTCAGTAACATGTTCATATTAAAATCATATGTAAATCATGCTAGTTGTAGAAACCCAAATTAAGGTAAAGTTACTACTCACCTCTTGATGCCAACTGGCAGAACTCGGCTTCTTATCGATCTAAATGCTCAATTTGTGGGCAATCTATAAATCAATATAAGTCTAGTGTTACCACTCTTGAACTCTATAATCTATTTCACTTTCAATAGAATTTTTTTCGGTTATAACCAACATCTTGGTTCCACTTTATCACATCCATGAGACTATGTATCATCTTTTTTTTAAAAGGAAAATAACTATCTAACGCTAATTTACTCTTCCAAACTTAAAATCTGTGTACTACTCCTTTACTAAATCATACAGGGAACTTGCAGAACTAGTAATAATAAGTTTACTTCTTGTATCCTCTTAATAACTTGTTAAAAATACAACAAATTGATTAAGTTCAATGTTGCTATCTCCATATTATTCTAAATAATAATCTGATTTTTCTCTCAACTAATCCATCAAATATAAAATGTGATTTCTTATTCATGAACATTCTCGCATCCAAATCAATTGGAACTCACTGAGTTACTAGTATCACTATTTAACTGAAACCATGATAAATCAAAGACATCCATATTAATGGAATAATAAGATATACCTTAAATTTAGAAATAGCAATGGTTGAGAATAATAATATTGAAGCACCAGGTCGCTAGCAGCTATGGAACTCTGCTTGATTTCCCCCTACTTTGGAACCAGAAGCTCTCATTGCTTTCTCCTCTAGGTTTTTTTTAATGCTTTAGCTTCTGTTTTGTTTTAGCCGCAGCTTTGCTGCATTCCCCTTTCCCTTTTCCCTTTTCCCTTTTTGTTCCAGTGGGCCTTTGCCCCATCTTTTAATTTGTTTAAGCCCCT